ATCATAGATTCTAAAACTCCAACCTTAATTTTGTAGCTATCATTGGAGAAAAAGTTAAGTATAAAGCCAGCATGTGTTGGCCTTCTATAGACATTCCTGCTTTGCTTCTCACCTGCTCTGATCACAAATAAATCTAAAAAGGGTAAAGTATTGTTGACCTCCATCTCCATTGTCAACACTTCTACTCGAAATGGAAGTAATCCCAACAATTATGAAACAAGAGATTCCTCGAAACCCAACTTTTCTTCATATTTATTTGCACAGCTCACCATTACAGGTAAAATGTATACACTACATTACCAGATTTATCAATATCATCATTGACTCTATACTTAAGTTCATTATTATTCACAATAATTCTAAGTGGCACTCCATCTTTAAGTATTTTTTCGAAAATTTAATTTTAGTTGCTTTTCTCATTTAGTAAATATATATACTACAATATACCTTGCTTCATAGTTTTATTATGAATTATTTAATTGTTGCCTGTCGCTTGTGACCCAAGAACTATAAATTTGGGTTATGATTTTAATCCGTTCTCTCAGAGAATGTTTCCATTATTAGTGTATTCCCTTCGAGCTTCTATTCATCCAGTTCTCTGAAACATTTTCAATAGACGTTATTTTTATGGAACCGCTATATTTATTTCATAACTAGATGATGCCGTTGATCGAGGGTACAGCCCGTCGCATTGGTGAATTTTCTTTTTGCCGTGATTGGCGAGGCGATCCATTTACAAATTCGGCCAACTTTTTTCGTGGTGAACCTCATATCCGCTTGCCCGATCTAGTCATTTGTCTGGATACCTGGGCACCTCTCAGACCTGGTGGTAGCACTATAGTGCGTGATTCTGCCAAAATGCTCATTCCCACTGTTGCTGTAGTTGATACAAACTCAGACCCACGACTTGTTACTTATCCGGTGCCTGGAAATGATGATTCCCCTGTCTCTGTCAGACTCTTCTGCGCTTGCTTCGCGGCTGCTGTGGAGGCGGGTAAGTCCCGCGCTCGTTATGACAATAGCATCCTAACCGGTCAGAATGGGGATCAAACGGACGTTAAAGCCGGCCAACATAAAGGCGGTTTTGGTGATACAGGTTCGGAATGGCCTGATGAGATTGCAGCCAGAGAGCTGGGCAGAGCTCAGCCAGTCGTCCCAGAAATATCAACTGATGACTGGTTGCCAGAAGAGGATACTGGTTTGGAAGATTTAAAAATTGTAACTCCAGCAGATAGTGAGCAGCCAAATCTCGCCGACCGATCTTCGAAATCTGTCGAAAAACTAGACAACAGCTAGAGGTTGATTGTGCCCTTTTTAATCACTTTTTCCCTATTCTGTACATAAATGTTCATTCCGAATCATTTTGACTTTTCATTGTCCTTTGGTTTGCGCAATATGAAGCATTTAATTGCCCAAGGGCTAGATATTCTACTCATTCTTATTTCCATCGGATTTATGCCCATGAACCCTGATGATTGGCCTTATTAGATCTCAGTTTGCTACTTATCATTTTTATTCATCAATAAGGCTATCATTTTACATCCTTTTAAAAAATAATGCATTTCAAGGAAAAACT